AGCCCACACTCTGACCAGGTGATAGAATTATTGGAGGGACTCCCAAACCCAATAGTCTGATTTGCAGATAAGGTAACCATGGGGACCCCAATCAGGTAAGGTGTCATTATCAAGCAGGGCCCTTGGCACGGCGCAGACTTGTCTGCACGGAGACCAGCGGACAGCCTGGACTGTGTGTTGCCAGTCCCTACACGGATGGCGTTTAGGAAGATCAGGCACTTGTGTAGGCATTAGCGACCTCAGTGAGGTTAGTGGTGACAGCAGAAGTCAAGGTCAGATTTGCAGGCTTAGCATCTTTTTCAGGCTGATAGTACAGGTGCTCCTGAGGAATGAGAGTAACACACTTACCATGTGCTGTTGTAGAAAGACAGAGAGGGGGATTACTACACAGTAAAGTCAAGGAGTCATTAAGTTGAAGCCATCTCACATTTTCAGTTAAGGGGTAAGACAGGGGCATCTACTGACCTCCTGTCCGTAGTAGGTCAGATGACAAAGGTGGTCAGCATCCCACCATGTACTAACATTAAAAACGGGGACTCAGAACATGACTCCAATAAACATGACCTTGAGCGGATCCCACTTCGCAAAGGACAAGAACCACCAGCCATGTCTGTCTTACTCTCAGAAGTTTCCCCAAGTACCGCCAGATACGTAAGTCACCGGTTCTCCTCAGCCGCGGGGGCTGGCGCAGCGGCAGGCTGGTCGTTGCTCACCGATTCGGTTTCTTCAGCTGCCCTCGGATAACATCAGGTGCCTTCCGAGTCATCACCATCTGTTTCAGTTGATTCTACGAGTCCTGTTCTCAAGGAGAGACCCCCGTATTCCCCCTTTTTTATTTATTAAGATGTACTTTAAGAGCTTAATGAGCTTATTTACCAACGGCCTAACCAGTTGAGTTATAGGAAATACCAGTTTTGCGTTGTATGTGTTGAAGTTGCAATGCTTATGTAAATTGAGCACTAAGATAGTAAGGTCCATTATCAGTTTTCATAGTTTGTGGAAGGCCTAAGGTTATAACAGATTTAAACAAATGAGCAATTGCATCTTTAGTTTTTTCTCCAGTCCAGGGGGTAGCATGCATTAAACCTGTGTAAGTGTCCACAGTAACGTGAACAAGTTTAAACATTTAAAGGCTGGACACTGAGTAATACCAGTTTGCTGGGTAGCATTGGGCACCAGACCTTGTGGGTTGGCACGAAGCATGAAGGAAAAAGGAGAGAGAGAATGCCATTGGCAGTCAGGACAAGTTTTAATAATTATGTGAGCCTGAGCAAGTGTCGAATGAAACTGTTTAAGACTGCAAGTGGGTGGATCACAAGGTCAAGAGATCGAGACCATCCTGGTCAACATGGTGAAAACCCGTCTCTACTAAAAATACAAAAAATCAGCTGGGCATGGTGGCGCGTGCCTGTAATCCCAGCTACTCAGGAGGCTGAGGCAGGAGAATTGCCTGAACCCAGGAGGCGGAGGTTGCAGTGAGCCGAGATCGCGCCATTGCACTCCAGCCTGGGTAACGAGCGAAACTCCGTCTCCAAAAAAAAAAAAAAAAAAGACTGCGAGCATTCTGATGAAGAAAAGCATGATCAGCTTGAGCTCACGAAAAATGTGGGAAAGTCTGCAAACTGCGTCTGTGGTTGCGCCAGAGCAGCAGCTCCAGCTTTCCCTCCTGATAAGGGACCAGGTAACCTAGAGTGAGAGCAGAGATGGGTGACGTAAGGAGCCTGACGGGCACAGGGGAGCTCTTCATTCCTGGTGGAGCTAGTGGGGCTTCGTTGGTAATGCCTTTCACCTGTGCAAGATCTAAATGAGTAATGCTCTGTGCCGCTTCAGCAGCATCACTAACTATGTTTATGTCTTGGTGAGAAAAAGTTTGTAAGGCCACTCTGAGGGCACCTAACTCTGCCTGTTGCATAAGTGTTAAAATGTTCCTGGATTTCGTGTTGTCAGTTTTGCGTGGCGTCTTGCCACACTATAGCTGGCTTTTCAGTCTGTCTTGAACCATCTGTAAAGACCGTGGTGGTATGAAACAGAGGCTCAGACAGCAGTAGATACAAATGTACCAGGCACAGTTTGTAAAAAGTTCAGGAGCTCAGAGGCTGGCAAATGAAAGCTGATATTACCAATAAAGTCAGCCATTGCTACTTGTCAATCAGGATCACAAGCTGAAAGAGTGCGAAATGGTTCCTTGCTTAACAGTCGGGCAGGAGCAGCAGGGTCGTGTCTTGATCATTGGATGCAATGTTGGCGCCCCTTTATGAGAAGAGAAGCTATGAAATCTGTAGTCTTCTGTATGTTTTTAGTGGGATTATGAGACAGGGACATAACATATAAAATACAGGAATGGCAAAAGATAAAGCCTACCTGTTAAACTACGGCATGGAAGGGACAGATATTTTAAGTAATTTTTTTACCATATTTTGGTTCTTGAAAGTCATTAGAATGTGACTGCAAGTCGCCAAGATAATAAAGCCCCATTGAGTTAGCTTGCGTGTGTGAAAAAACAACAAAAACAAAACCGAACCCAAATACTTTAAAAAATGTTCTTCGGTGCTGGCCATTTTCCTGCGTCAGCCTTCAGCTGGAATGCTGGAGCTTGGGAAAGCACAGCTGTGGCCTGTTTCTTGCCACCTGCTCCGGGCTCCTTAGGCAGCCTCCCTTTTTAATAGCCTGCCACCTGTTGCTGCCTTTCCCCCGAGAGGAAGGAGGGCGGTAAGTAGCAGGAGGAGGTTTAATGACCAGTGGGAAGTGCGTGCGTGTAAGCACGGGGGCAGGCGGGAGGAGGGTCACAGGCTGGGAGAAGACCACCCCCTCATCCTCCAGGCCACTGACACTCCGAGCCACCCTGTTAAGTAAGGTACGGAAAATATACTGGGTTTTTTATGATTTTTACCACCCCCAAGCAGAGCGGCTCGGGGCGGAGCAGACATGCAGCACAGGGTCTGCTTTGAAGTGTCCTAGCCACGGTGTTTTTAAACGTTTTATAAAAAAGAAACTTTCCTTACTGCTGCGTCTGCCTTCTGAAGATGATGGCAGCAGCAGAGCTCGCCCTCCCCAGCCTAGTCAGCATTTAACATATGGCTACAGGAGAGCGCCCTCATTAGCGGGCTTCTCCCCCTGCTCATTTTCTCACCCCTGTGCCCACCTTAGGCTATTAGGGTCGGGGTGCACATAGACGGTTTCTTAGCCCTTTCCCTAGGGGCCAGGGAAAACAAGGAATTGCTCATCAGCTGAGACATGCGAGGGGTGTCAGGGAAGGGCAGATGTAGGAAGAGCAGTGGCACAGCAGGCAGCGGGCCACCTTCTGGGTGCAGTCATGGAGGCGCGTTCTCAGGGCCGGGCTGGAGCTGCCTGCAGCCACCGGGGACTTGGTCTGTGCCTCTTGGCATCCCTCCGTCACCACAAACCCAGAAGTGACTAAATGGGCACTCCATGGCATCTTAGCAACTCTCCTGCCCCAGGCCTCTGTGGGCAGCAAGAAAGCCAGCAGGCAGCAGACAACTTTCCCTTATACTCCAGGGAAACAGAAAAAAGACAAGGCCAGGAAGGCGGTGCTGGAAGTGGGAAGTGAGAACTTCCGTATCAGGAAGACGGTCACAGTCAGCCGCCTCCTTCCCTCCCGGAGGCCCCCATATGATCTGCAGACCATCTGTGTGGTGAAGGAGACGCGGTCACCCGATCATGCCGATGTTCGCTGAGCGGGGGTCTTATCTAAGAGCTGTCACTTAGCAGCCTCCACTCTCCATAAGGGGGATGGGAGGGCTGTTGCCCGGACAGGCCCAAGATGCAGGTCCCTTTAAGGGTGGAGGAAAAGGCTCCGATCCGCCCTTACCCTCACTAGAAAAATCTTCCTTATTTCCTGTAGAAGGGAACGAAGCAGGAGAGGGGCCTCTCCCTGTTCTTGTTTCTGTTTTTCCTTCTCCGTTAAATCTCCTGAATTCCTTTCAGGTGGTCGGACTCACTGCAGTCTGGTAGATAAAGAGGACACAGCAGAGAGCCTGCCAGCGCCCAGTGGTCCGATAGTAAGATTAGTGAATAACCTTGCTCGTGTCCTGTTTTCAGGCAGTGGCTGACCTGCCTGCCCCCATGACCCTGCATCTAGGGTTCCTTGATGAGGAAGCCAGGAGCAGTCCCCCTGAATTAGGAGCATAAGCTTGTGTGGAGCCCCAGGCTCTGCAGGGCACTCGGTAGCCTTAAGCAGCTGCTGCTCTGTTTTAAAAAAATGCTTTCTGCTCTTTGGTCATTTCTTGACCCATGATAAGCTAACTCCTAATATTTTACGCATGCGTGCCGTCCTCCTGATGGGAGCCAGGACTGTCCCTTACCAGGATTCCCCAAAAATTGAGCTCTCCTCCTTCACGTGTAAATTCAAGGTGATCACGTCAGGAACACCAGCTGCAGAGCTTACAGCTTGCAGTGAATGCCGAGAACGAAGTACGCAGGCAGCTCCAGCTGAGCGGGGTTGGGGGGTGGCTCTTCCTAGAGACTGTGCCCCAGCATCCACCCACCAAATATTGACCCAAAGGGCTTGTGTTAACTGCAGACACCCACTAGATGGCCATTCGAGGCGGGTTGCTGAGGCACCTGTGACCTTGCACACACTCAAACTGCGTTCTCAGGACGCTGTTTTCACATTCCTTATCACACCACACACTCCACTCCCCGTCCTGTTTTCAGGGTCAAGGAGTTTCATGCCCATGCACAAATCACACACACAGTGCCTCAGTATTTTCCATGCGTGGACCTCAAATGCCATGTACATAAGCCTGGACATGCTGCCATGTGCCCCCCACATTATCTAAGTGGGAGGCTTCAGATTCTGAGAAGTAACCTTTTGTCTGCCCCGTGCATCTTCAAAATGTCAAGTTATTTTTCTTGGGAAAGCCAGGAACAGGGCAGCCGTGTGGTCGCGCTGTCAGAGTTGTGAGGTCAAGAAGGTGGGCCCTCATTCAGTTCTAGTATTTGGGCTATGTCTGACCCTGTGTGTCCCACTCTGTCCCCAGAGCCCAAGGTGGTGTTTGCCAAGGACCAAGTGTCATGCAGGGAGGTGCAGGCCGAGGCGGGGGCCAGCACCACGCTGAGCTGCGAGGTGGCCCAGGCCCAGACGGAGGTGACGTGGTACAAGGACGGGAAGAAGCTGAGCGCCAGCTCGAAAGTGTGCGTGGAGGCCGCGGGCTGCACGCGGAGGCTGGTGCTGCAGCAGGCGGACGCCGGGGAGTACAGCTGCGAGGCTGGGGGCCAGAGGGTCTCCTTCCGCCTGCACATCACAGGTGGGTTTCTTGAGACCTTTCTTACATTCCTTAGGATAATTTTTAATGACGTTAGTGTGGAGGTGCCACCTAATTGCCTCTTTTCTCACAAAGCTTCCCCTATAATAACATCTAGCAGGTATAAATTTTGTGCCAAGGGCATAGGTTTTGTGAAGTGCTACTTGTCTTTCTGCTTGCTTAAACTTCAAAACAATTCTGTGAGAAAAACTCTGATTATTCCCATTTTAAGATAACACACAAGGAAGTAACTCGCCACAGTTCACAAAGCCAGAAAATTGCAGTCAGGATTTGGATCCAGTATTCTGGGATTATTATTCTTTCTTTCTGAAGAGTTCTATCTTCAGTATTATGTTAGCAGCTCTGCTGGTTTTATATATTCTTTTTTTCCTCATATGAGAACATATTTGTTCTCCCTTTGATTCTGTTTTATCTGGGTATGACATTACAGTTTAGCAGCTACCCATCCCCTGTAACATTTTAAGGTCATTCCGTTATCTTCTGAGTTTCATAGTTCTGTTGAAATATCAGCTATAAGATTTACTGTGGACATTTTAAGGGTAATATATCTTTCTTCATCCTGTTGCTTTTAAGATTTTCTTTTTGAATGTGCATCATGGCATTTTTTCTTTGATGAACGTAGGTGTGGTTTCCTTTGTCTTCATCCTGGTTGGAATTCGAGAGCATCTTGAGTCTGTGGGTTTATGTCTTTCATCAGTTGTTTTCTGTTACCGAATCCTGAAGCTTCAGTGCCTGTGAAGTGGGTTGGT